TTTTTTTTCTTTTTTTTTTTGACAACCAAGAAAACAACAGAGGAAATTAGCCCTTCCTAGCCTTCAAGGCCAGATTATGGGCTTCTGCTATTACATTTCTATTAGTCTTTATAGTCATCAGTAAAGTTAAGGATTCAGCAATATTTTTTATACCACTGATTTTCGACTTAATTTTTCGATCCGCATCGTCTGAGCTTTGGAGACCATGAATGAGGTTGCTGCAGTCAGTCAGTATGATTGCGCTCTTACCTCCAAGGTTGAAGCTCTGCAAAGCCAGGAGGGCAGCCATTGCTTCAGCCTGTATGGGAGATTGAGCGAGGATTCTATTGCTCCCCTGTAGTACCTTGCTGCCATTTTCATATATCACCCAACCTACTGCGGCTTCCCAGTCACCTTCCCTCCCTGTTCTTCCTTTCTTCCAAGCTCCATCAATTTTTATCTTAACCGTAGGGTCAAGGTTGCTGATGTTGGAGCACCATATCACATCGCTACTCTTATAGTTGTTGCTGCTCCTGATCAGTTGTTTGTGCATCTCTTTCTTGACACTCCTCCCTTGCTTCCATCTATTCTTCCAGTGTTCAACTTGCTTGAGTATATTCCCTGGTTCAGGGCTTTCACTTCTGAATAGAGCATTATTTCTTGCCAACCAAATGCTCCAAAGTGTGCAGATAAATTCAATAAGAGTATCGTCACCTAAATTCTCAGTGTTCAAGATTAAGAAAATGAAGTTCCTGACCCAATCCCTCACATTGAGGTGGTGCCCATTTTCAAAGTTGGTACCCAGGTTACCACCTTTCCACACTTTCTTAGTAATCTCACAGCTTCAAAACAAGTGTTCAGTACTTTCTTCTTCATTGTGACAGAGATGACATTGGCTTGTAACATCAATTTTCCTTTTCACCAGGTTATTGTCTGTAGGGAGGGCATTGTGAATAATTTTCCATACAAAAAGCTTGTGCTTTGGCCAGATTGTAGACTTCCAAAATTTGTACCAGAAGGCACCATGTTCATGATCCTTATTAGACCTTCCTAGTGCGAACCAGTACTTGGATTTCAGAGAGTAATTCCCTGATTTGGTTGGACCCCATTCCCAATCGTCATTCTTCTTGAGCTTAGGAAGATGAGTAGCTAGCACTTCCGTTGCAGGTTAGTGGGGTATCCATTTCCTAACAGTAGCAGGGCACCAATTCCCATTACTATCCATCAGGTCAGCTACCATAGTTAGTTTGTTTGTTCCCTCACTAGTAGTATGTTGCCTCATTGTTAATCTGCCAGAATTTAGCCACGTATCCCCCTCAATGGAAGTAGATTTTCCATCATGAACAACTCTTCTAAGCCCTCCCTGCATTATATTAATGCTGCTCAGAATACTTCTCGCATCCCTTGATGCTAATCCAGGGATTCGATTAGTCCTTCCTTTGTCGAACCAGTCCTTGCTGTACCGAGCTTCAAATATTTTGCTAACCTGCAGCTGAGGGTTAGATTTCAATCTCCAAGCCTGTTTAAAAACCAGAGCTTGGTTCAGGCCGTGGACGTTTCTCAGACCCAACCCCCCACTGTGCTTGTGGAGCTCGAGAGTGGCTGCTTTCCTCCAGTATATCGGTTTCTTCTCTGAAGACGACGACCACCAGAATCTGAGAATGGTGGACGAGATTTTTTTCAGGACCTTCTTTGGCATGAGATACGTGCTAAGAATGTGGCTGGTCATAGCCACGAGAATTCCATTAATAAGTACCAATTTGCCGGCTTGGGAAGCATTTAGAAATTTCCATGAGGAGAGCTTGCTTGCGATTTATCTACAATCTCCATAAACACATTAGTGGTCCTACCATCCACGTCCATGGGGCACCCAAGGTAGGTTCCCATTTTATCTTTATCTTTCGCTCGGAGGACTTTTCTGAGAATCTTTTTGAACTTAGCCGGCATCTTCTTCGAAAAGATTACAAATGATTTGTTGAAATTTATCATTTCTCCCGACAAATTGCAGAATTTATCCATCGTTTCGCGCAGAGGCTAGGTTATCAATGGTTGCTTCAAGAAAGAATAGAGCGTCGTTCGCAAAGAAGAGGTGGGAGATGGGAGGGGCACCTCTGGCAACTTTGATACCTTTGATATCTGCTGAATTTTCTAGAGCTTTCAGCTTTCTTGACAGGGCTTCAATACAGAAAATAAAAAGATAAGGGGACAAGGGGTCCCCCTGTCTTAATCCTGAGTTGGGAATGATTCTCTCCGAAGGTTCGCCGTTGATGAGTATTCTGTAAGAGACTGAGGAAACACACTGCATTATCCATCGTACCCATATTGGCGGGAAATTCATTTGTTTTAGAACTTCTTAAAGGAACTTCCGACTAATTCGGTTGAAGACTTTGTTGAGGTCAACTTTGAAGATGCTTTCGAACTTCTTGCCATTTGATCTGCTCTTGATCTTGTGTAGCATTTCGTGGCCAATGAGACAGCTATCTGTAATGGATCTCTGGGGAATGAACGCATTCTGGTTTTCTCCCACCAAATCACCTATAATGTTTCTGAGCCTCTTAACTAGACACTTGGAAATGATTTCATACGAAGTGTTGCATAAGCTGATGGGTCGGTATTCGGAAATGGAGGTCGGCCTCTACACTTTTGGGATCAAAGTTACGAAAGTTTCATTCATTTCCTTGAGTAGGTGGCCTCCCTGAAGAATGCATGTGCTGCGTTGTTGACATCAACTCCCACCAGGTTCCAGCTCTGCTAAAAATGCTAGGTGGGGATACCGTCCTGGAGATTTATGTCCCTTCATACTAAAAGCTGCTTGCCTGACATCTTCAAGGGAAAAAAGCTGCTGGAGGATAGCATAATGATGGTCTGAGAGTTTGGGAATATGAGTTTTCCAGTCGTTCCAAGTCTCATGGTTCCATTAATGCTGTGTACCTGCACTAAACAAGTCTTTAAAAAAGTTAGTAAATAAAGAGTGGATTCCTTTGTCATCAGAAATCCAATTTCCATTATCATCCATCAGCCCCTTGATATCATTTCTAGCTTTCCTTGCAGCTGCACACTTGTAGAAGAAGGCTGTGTCGAGGTCGGCCAGATTATCCCACTTTGTTCTATAATCTGCCCTGCTACAAACAATAGTGCTTTGTTAGATTCTATAATCTGCCCTTGAATGCATTGAGCTTACAGTATTTGTGAACTTCTCTCTCTAATACTTCATTATCATCGTACATATCATGTGAAAAATTAGCTTCTCTTTTTTTTGGAAAAATTTTTGTCAGACTGCATTGATTTTTTTGATTTGTTAACTTGATGTTGATTTAATGTTGATAGCATTATTATTTCTATTTTGCAGATTGCGGCCATTTAAAACTAAATATAGGCCTTCGCATTTGGTTGACATGATGTCTAACTTTATTCTTGATCAAAAAAATTCTATAAATGAAATCGGTTTTGGAGGGTTGTTATCATTGAAGTTGAAAAGGAATCCTACTAGTATGTATAGGTGGCTAATTGATTCTTTTGACTGCGGTAGCTGCATGTTTTCAATTGGTAATAATAAGGAGTTTGTGGTGAATGAATATGATGTGTATGACGTGTTTTGCCTTCCTTTGAACTCCAAAAATGTTGAGGAGATACCTAGATCTGCTAATAAAAATAATCCAAGACTTTGTTTTCAAACATAATTGGAGATTGCATTTTGGGTTGACAGATGAAAATGATCAAATTCCACTTAATTTGTTAGAAGCTAGGATACCTACTTTAGGTCAAGGTGGAGATGAGTTTAAGCAACTCTTTGTTATGCATGCTATATCCACGTTTTTAGCTCCTACTTCTAACAGAATTGCTGATCTTAGGATTGTCAAGGTGTGTTGAACAAATTAAGAATTTAAATTGGTGTAAATATATTCTTGAAAAACTGTGTGAAGGTGTTAAAAGTTACAAAAAAGGAGAAATTCAGAATTGTTGTGGTTGTGTTTTGATGTTGGAGATTATTTACTTTCATAGGTTGAAATTTAAGAATGTTGAATTAAGTACTTCTTTACCCTTAATTCAACATTGGAATGATGAATTGATTAAGGATAAAATTAAGAAGGAAAAATTGTCCAAAAGTTTTGGGTGTGGGATTTTACTGTCTGATGTGTATCCTGTTAGTGGTAAACTGAAGTTTCTGGATGGACATGTTGTGGGTACTGCAGGAGGAAGTATGGGGAATGTTGGGGGGGGGGGGAGTGATAATGTTGTGAGGAATGTCGGGAGGAGTGTTGATGTGCCTGATTCCCAGGGTACAATACAGTTCATTCTCCCAGCACGTTCGATGTCAGATCAAGAGATCCATTCGGCTGCTATTGATGTAAGGAGTAGCTGACTTTTATTCTATATTATTATTTTTATAATTGGATATGATTTAAATGTTTATACATGTTTCTTTTAATGTTTTTGCAGCCAGTTCATGAGCAATTTTTGTTCATGAAAAGAGATATGCATGTGATCTCTTCTTTTTACAATGACAAGATAAAAGAGATTCTTCTTTCACGTGGTGAGGCCAACAACTCTTTAATTTGTCCCAGGATGATTCGTTTTTTATGGATCCTCGAGTTCAATCTGTGTTTGACGAGATCTCTGAACTTGCTATTTGGGTGACAAAATTACCTGAGGGGTGGGGTCAAATTTCTACATTTGACCACAACAAAACAAATGGAGGGAGGGAGGCAATTAGAGGCACTATCCCCGTGATTGGCTTTGAAAATATTCTTGCAAATGGAGGGTTCAGGTGTTCGTTTTCTTTGGATTGGAAATCTGATGAAAAGCTTATATTCATTTCACACTTTTTGAAGTCAAATAACAAGGAAATGAAACTATTGGATCCATTAGTCCTAGAGGTTGTTGACTGTTGCATTATCAATGATTCTTGTTTGGCTCCTAAGTAAGTAATCTTTTGTTTGATTACATTGATTTTCTCTTATTAATTTTATTTATGAAACACCTTTTTAATTCTTATTTTATACTCTTTGACTCAGTGAACTGTTGGTATTTTTTCACCAAAAGAATTTGATTCAAAGGTAAGAATTCTACACATTAGGAGAGCCTTCTGAAATCATGAGCAGTAGTATTTTGGATTGTTGGGCATTGCTTCTCAATGAAAATCAGAAATATTTGAAGGATGGACCTCGGAAATTGTACTTTGGTTCTTCAATTAGTGTGAGTTGTTTAAATATTTCAATGTTTATACATGTTTTTACTTTATACTGTTTTTTTGATTTGTTAAAATATTATGTAGGTTACAATAGTAGAAGCTGCCGGCAGTGATGGCAACAAATAATGGACAATGTTTATCAAGGTTTAGAGGAGTGGATGAAAATAGCTTGCAATGATTTTGATTTGTTAGAAGTTGAGCTGGTAATACTTTCTGTTTTTTTATGCTTTAAAAAATATAGTTCCCTTTTTTTTATGTTATAGATACCTTTTTTTAAATGAGAGTGACCGTTGAAAATTGCATAAGTATATTTTTAAAAGAGGTTACTATAATATCAAAAATGGAATCTAATATGTGTTTTTTTTTTTTATTGTGACTAATTGTGGTATTATTGTTGCAGATATTTTAACCTTGTCTTTGGGGCAATCACTATTGCTTATTTTGTGGTGAATTTGACTAAAGGAAAAATTCAGTTTATTGTTAATCTGAATTATGATGAGGATAATCGTATCTTTTTGATAAAGTTGTCTAGTCTCCTGGTATTACTTTCTCACTCAATATTGTGCATTTCTTAGATATTGTTCTCTGTAATGCACTATTGCTTTGAGTGTGTTGTTGATGCATATGTTTATGTGATGAATTTGTGGCATAACGCATTTGGTTGTTGAGCATAATAAGGATTAAAAATATCATGCAATCCTTTGTGACTAGTATATTGTGATGTCTTGTGCCTCTGGGCCTTTTAGTTACTTGTGCATAAATATTTACCATTAGATTACTAGCAATTTTTTGCCATTAAGGTGAGGGGCTGTTAAGTTTATGTACTATATACCCCTTATATTGGACAATATCGTGATAGTTTGTGAGTACGTCTGATATGTTAATTATAATTGTTTTGATGATGGTGTTTCAGTTATCATTTGAGACATTGACTTCGAATTAAGGCATAAATTGCTGCTCTGCTTGACTTTTTTGGAATTGTGTTGCATAAAAATAATATGTTGTTTTGTTCTGTGATGTGATTATATGCTTTTTTGCTAGTGTGATATGATCAGTACCTACTTTGATCAAAGGCTTACTCAATCTGGAGAGATGGTTGACTACGCTTTGGAGTTTCCCACTTTGAATTGGAGATCTAGCAAATATAATTCAGATTCTGGTGTTTATATTATGATGACCATGCTTTTATTCAATGGAGTTGGTGAGTTTAAATATGAAGTTGTAAAAACAGTTATGCTTCTTTCCCTATTAAATTATTTGTTTAATTTCTTTTTATTAATATCACAATATCTTATATTGATTACTTACTTTTTTAGGCTTCAAATAGGAGGATTCTCCGGATTCAAATTGCTGCATCTTTGGTGTTATCTGATATGAATGAAGCTAGATCAATTATAATTGATAAGGTGGCTGAATTCAAACCTGATATGTAGTGTCTTTCAAAAGAGGTTGAAGAAAGAAGAAGCTAACTGAAGACAACTGAAGAGAGGAAGAATAAGAAGAAGCCAACTGAAGACAAGAAGAAACGAAAGGGGAAGGCTTAAGATGTCAGAACATGATTTTTTGACTTAGTTATTTTTCTGATGCTAAGCCAAAGTACTGTGAACATTGAGGATTGGTATTAGTATTAGTATTAATTCAACTTTTGTGTATGATATTGAAGAAGATTGGAAAAATATTCATTTTGTGTAAACAAGCATTTTCCAACATTTTATGAAAATTATATATTGTTTGTTTTAAAAAAGAGTCTCTATATTAATATACGGGTTACTATGTTAATGTGAAATGTTATTCTAAACTTAACTTTATAAAGGTCTTTATGTGATAATAAAGGTAACTATGTTAATATTAAAGGTAACTATGTTAATATTAGAGGTTTACATTGAAATGAAAAGTCACTATATTATCATAGGTCACTGTATGTTAAAATAAAGTCACTTTATTATTTATAAGGTCTTTGTTTGGTTAAAAAAGGTCACTTCATTTTCAATATTGTATAGTGTGAAAATTTAAAACTATGTTAAATTAATGGCAATTATCGTAGGTCACTATATGTTAAAATAAAGTCACTATTTTATTAATAATGTTACTATTATAAATATAAAGGTGACTATGTCAAAATTATGGACTATATGTTTATTAATGTTAAAAAATTGACAATACAAGGGTATGAAATAAAGATTACTATTTAGGAATAAAGATCGCTATATTGTGAAAAAAGGTTACTATTCTAAAAAATTTAGCCATTAAAATTAAAGATTATTATATTAATCATAAACATTATATTATAATAATCAGTATTTAAAAGATATAAAGTTTCCAAAAATGAAATTACAAATAAAACGTAACCATGTAACAATACAGGTTGCTACGACAAAATTTAGTGCTCTTAAGACAACATTTGATGTCTTTAGATTATCAGAGCATATACTTATTATTAATATTTGGTGTTTTGGCACCAAATTCTCTATGCTTCCTCCTCTTCCCTTTTTTCATGTAGTCATAGCTTCCTGGAATCCTTTTATTTGATTGTTTTCCTTTAGTTTTTGCATGAGCTGGATCCATTACTTGAACAACACTAGATGAAGTTGCTTCCGAATTCTCTTCTACACCTGTAGTGTTCTCAAAATGGTTGTTAGTTGATTTCATAGCAGAAATAATCTCATCTATTGCACTTGAATCTTTTGTGAAGCTTTCTTCTAAGACTTTTCTTGCTTGTTCAAACTTGTGGCTCTTAAGGATTAGACTATAATACTTCCTCACCATGTGTAGCTGCCAGGGTGTGAAGTTGTTTAATGTCCCCTTCTTCTTTTGCTCTGCCTCCTTACTTTTCCAAACTTCAACCTTAGCCATTTTAGTCCATCTAAAAGATATGTATTGCTCTGGGATATTTTCAACAGAATGCATGTGCAAGATTCTAAGGCTATGGAAGCATAACCAACCCGACTCTTCAAAATTCTTGCATGGAAATTGAATTGTTTGGTTTGCTGGATCGTAAGTTACTGCTTGAGTTGTGCCATCTCTTCCTTCAAGGTACACTTGGTAAACCATTTTGCCTCCATTAATCAATAACAGTTAGTTTGAGATCCAATGGCTAGGTTGAATTCTTCTTCAAAGTCCCTGAATAATGTATGTGTATAAACCTCAGTAGCATGTTTAAATAAGGCAGACATCGGATAACTTGAAGTAGGAATTGATTTTGTGCTATGGAACTCATAAAAATCCTCATTCCTTCTCCAAGTCTTCACTGTCTTTTGAAATATGTCGTAGAATTCTGTCAAACTCGTCTTCTTGTTTGCTTTAAATCCCACTGCATGATTTGTGCTCTCACTTCTCTGTGACGATAAGATTCCCGCGGAAAAAAAGTCCTTACTTAGAGTTGTTGACCACTTATGCTTTAGTGAGTATAACCTCTTGAACAAACTGTTGTTTTTCAGCTTGTACTTTGTTATCATTGAATCCCAACATACTTCAAACTGAGCTTCGTTAATACAACCACTCAAGCATTTCGTGAAAGCAGCTTTGAATGTGTCATCACTCTTCAAAATTCCAAATCTTGTTACATCATTTTGAATCAAATGCCATAGACATAGTCTATGTCTAGTGTTTGGAAATACCTGTACATTTTTATACAGTTACATAGTTTCACAAATGGTTACTGCATTTAAAATAGAGGTAACTAAATATAATTTAAGTACAAACATATTTAGATGTAGTAGTAACTAATTACCTTGAGTATTGCTGCTGCCATGGCTGCATCTTGGTCTGTAAACAGTGAGACTGGACATTTACCACCCATTGCCTTTTTGAAGGTCTCAAATAGCCACATAAATGACTCTATGGTCTCATCACCAATAAAAGAACAAGCAAATATAGTGTTCTTCCAATGGTTGTTTATTCCTACAAAGGGTGCGCAAAGGAGGTTGTAACGATTCGTCCTATATGTGGTATCAAATACAGTGACATCCCCATATATTTTGTAATCTTCAAGCATCATAGAATCCCTCCAAAACAAGTTACAAACCCTTCCATCTGCATCCAACCTTACTCTGAAAAAGAAGTTAGGGTCTTTAGAATAAGCTTCCTGTAACTTGTCACAAACTACTTGAGAATCTCCTGCTTCAATGGCCTTTATTTTCAGTTTATAACAATAATTCATGTGGTCTTTCACTTTATGACCAATGACATCTTCTCCTCCAGCTTCATTTGACATGTAATTAAAGGATTCCATAGGTCTTAGTCCAGATTCTTGCATGACCTCAATCACTTGCCCTTTAATTTCAATCATTGCACGCTCTGAACGGTGGGTGGAAATGGTTCCATTGTGGTCTAGTGAGTGGATGATTGTGCACCAACACATGTTGAACTATCTCAAATTGCCCCTCCTCATTCAATTTGGCTATTATCAAAGCATTACAATTTGTCCTTGTTATAGGAACTCTCCTACTTTGTCTTGTTTTTTTTTAACCGAAGAACTTTCCTCTGTCAAGAGTTCTGGAATTTTTTCCTTCTTTTTACCAGAATTCCTCCGTCCAGCTGCAGAGCTTACAAAGAACTTTTTGGTGATAATATCTTTAGTTCCGGTTTTGCTTGTCTGTTTTGCTTTTCTAACACTAAAACCAACTGCAGCAGCATGTTGACAATACAATTCATGTATTTCTGCAAGTGTTGCTCGAGTTTCTCCTACTAACCAACCACTAATCTCTTCATTATTATTTGCACCTGTTATTTATTTGCACCATCCATAATTATCATTTATATAGGTCAAATTGGGTATATTACAATAGCACTCTAAAGTCTACAGTACATCACACATATCAGAAAAGCACTCTAAGATAGATCACTATACTATCATTAAAGGCAACTATATTACTTAAAACTGGCTTTGCATGTCTCTAACTACTGTAAACCTAATTATTTTCAATCAATATAAATTACGTACTACTAGTTGCAGTTATACGAGTTAATACCTAAATACCTAATTTAATTTTCCAAACAAACAATTGCAATTGCATAATTGCTTAATTTACATTATCAAATTCTAAAATCAATTGCATATATATCGCATAATACCTTGAGCTTTCATTACATGTTGATTTTTCTGCCGAACTTCATTCTCATCCTCAGCTTCAATAATAGCTTGTTCTACATCTTCAAGAGCGTCATCTTCTTGTTCCAGTTCGAATTGAATGGGATGATGATACAAGCTTCCTATAATTTGACAAATCAAACAATGATCAATAAATTTGCATAGTTTGATCAATCAAATAGATTATCGGTAATAATTCTTACCTTTATAGTTGCTTTCAATTTGAGCTTCATCGTTCAGATCGGAATTAATGACATTAATATCGAACTTTTCTATAGTGTCCTGTATATTTCGATTTAGATCAAATTCAAGTGAATGTATAGAAGAATTTTCCATGAATTTTGCAAAAATTGATTGATTATGGAGAAATTATTAACCTTAGAATTGATTAGAAGGAGAGAGAAAAAAAACTTCGAGCTCTATTATGGCGTAGATGATGAAGTTGTAGAGGAAAGAGAATTCATCGATTTTTTTTACGGGAGTGTGTGGGATGGGAAAGAGAATTCATCAGCTTAGTTTTGTCACGTGATATTTGTTAGGTCCACAATAAGTTTATTGTGGACCAGGTCCACCCAAGATTTTTTGATGACATTGAAATTGTTTGGAATGTGAATATGGATAGAATCATACGATTGTAGAATATCTAATATTAAAAAATGCTTAATTTGTTTAATTTATTGTTGGTTAATATTTGGTTATGGGTGTTGTTATTCGCTGGAATTATGAAGAGGTATTCCAAGTTCCTTAATTTCCCCATATATCTTCGGGCAACTAAGGAGTTGAAAGAGAGGTTCGAGCATATGATAGTCACTCGAGCGATGGATATTGCTAGAAGACCATTTTCTATTTGTGTTCTTTGATATAACTTCTATTTTGTTCAATGTTTAAGAACAAAATTTATTTAGCATTATTTTAAACTTAAACGTGGGCTTTTATTTATGCCATTTTTTTTACTTGGTTCGTGTAAAACGGAATAATTTGTTTCCACTTAATATTTTATTAATAAATTATCCATTTTTTTAAATTTTTTTAATGTTTTTTTTTTTTTAAATAGCATAATAAAAAAAAAGATTATTACATGCCAGTTGTTTAAAATAGGAATTTATTAATAACGACGATATTTTTTATTGTTATTGAATAAAAATTTAGACATTTAAGATGATTACCAAATCATTTTACAAGAGGTTATTTGGTTGTAATTGCTCATTAGCTTATCGTTAATAAATTATCTGTGAACGACGAGTTCTTGGGTTGTCGTTACATGCCAACGGCGAAATGGATGGTCGTCGTTAAATTTTAACAATGAACATCGTTGATAAAACTAATAACGAGAGAGCCTATTACATCGAACAAACGATGAAAATTCGTCGTTAAAGGTTTTAACGACGATTTTTTGGGGGTTTTAACTTTTAACGACAATAATTCGTCGTTAAAACCAATTTTCTAGTAGTGTATTATCAATCAGTGGTTCTAAGGAGACGAATGTACCATGCGCATGGTACATCCGTTCAAAAAAAAAAAGCGGAAAGAAAATTCTATAGAAATGTAAAGAACATTTGGTTAAAGTGAAAAGAACATGGTATAGAATTGTAAAAAACATATATCTAAAGTAAAAAGAACATATTGTTAAAATGTAATGAACGTGATAAAAGAATATAAGAGATATAAAAAAAGAACATAAAGCTATTAATAACAATGAACATGACACTATTTTATAAAGAACTCACTGTTAAATAATATTCCTTATCTCTGTGTTATTTGATTGTCAGTGTAATGTATTTTTATTTGTGATATAATTATCATTGTTTACCGTGAAATGTTCTTTAAATTTTGTCTGTAGAGTATGGTGGGTGAATATAAATAATGTTTATTACATAATATTATCATGTTTTTTATTAATATTATGGATGTTTTTTAGATATACAAAAAGAATATAAAGCTAGATGTTTTTTTGTAAAACAACTATATGTTCTTTACAAAACAGTTATATGTTCTTTACAAAACAAATATATGTTCATTCGCATTTTATCAAAAATCCGGATGTTCCATACTTAGTACATCCGCCTCCACAAAGAAAATTTCAGTACATAATAGTGGCCAACAAATAAGCACGAACGTACTCATCAGGTTAAATTTTTCTACCCAACCCTAATCTTTACTACTACGCACAAGATTCATCAACCTTTTTCTCTCTTTCGGTGAGAAATTAGAAGAAAACAATAACCTAGTTTTACCTGAATACCTAAGAAACACGGATCAAAGTAAGATTTCAAGATGACTGCCATTAAAAACAGATACGTTGTTTGGTACACTAAGCTGCTCCATTTTTTTTTTTCCAGTAATAAGAAGAAGTATTTAATTCGAAACAACGATCTTACTACTTCACTTTCCAGAAATTATAGGGACAACGATCTTACTACTTCACCTTCCAGAAATTATAGGGACTGTTTTATTTGGGAGGATGTAGAGGGTTTTGAAAGTGGGTAAAAATGTACTTTTGTCTATTAATAAAGCTTTGTCAGGTGAGTCACTAAAACAAACTCCGTTTTGCTGACTGGACCTCCGATCACGAAAAGAAAGACGCGTATTTTTGTTTATTGTTGCTTAAAGTTTTGAGAATTACATTTTAGAGAGAGAAATTAAAGAGTTTGATTTATCTGTACAATTTCGTTGTGAATTTAGTCTCGGAAGTGAAACATCATGGTAATTGTCATGTATGATTTCGAACTTTAATACTCTTGGCAAACAAATTTTAGCCGTTAATGATGTTAATTATATTAGTATTCATCTTAATTTTGTTCCGGATGAGTAATGGCCTCGATTGCTGATTTAATCAGTTACAATTGTTATTTCTCTTGCTTTTCCGTCCACCACCCGCATACCTCCCATTAATTCTGTTTGGAGAGCTGAATTTGCTGCAATAGTTTTACTCAGCGGATGCGCTTGCATGCATGCTTTGTCT